TTAGTGCTATATGATCTGATGGGTGTGAAACACTTGGTAAGGCCTGGTGGGTAGTTACTTCTTCATGGCTTGGCAGTGGAATTACCTGTTCAACCTCCAAAACATTTGCATCAATGAAAACATAGTCCAAACATCCATGAAAGCCTCCAACGTAATTAGTGTAGGCTGGTTCTCCACAAGCACTTTTAAGACTGAACTGGTGGGTTAGAGACATAGCAAACCGTTGCTCTTTAACTTCTGAATCCCAGCTCTCATGATCTTCGGTAATACTACCGCTATTGACAAAAGTATATGTTCCAGTTGATGGCGTGGCATTAAAGTCCCCACAGAGTATGAGAGGTGTAGCAGGATACATGTCATTGATCACATGCTTAATATGGGATAATGCTATTGCAACTTGGATTAGACGGATATTTTCACCTAAAAACAAAAGAAAGCAAGGACCGTTATGTTTAGTCAATGGCTCTTAAGGATTCAAATCATTTCATACCCAGTCTTAAGATTTTTTATTTTTTTTTAAAGTAAAGCCCCCAATTTGAGTTTGACTCCCAACTATAACATGGAAATGGTTTGCCATTGCCTTCTGTTAGGACAGGGCTTTCAAATTTGTAGCTTTCCATGTCATATTGGTTAAAGCATGCCATGCTGATGTACAGTTGCATGGTGGCAGCCAAAACAGGTCAGCAGCTTGCAAGTCTTAGACGGGCATTATGTTTTCTCCTCTGGATAGAGGATGGCGAGGCTGACACATATACGGAGGTATTCTCACAGCTCAGCCGGGAGCTTGTCACCTTGCCAGCAATAGCAAGAAGCTGCAGGGATGGCAGGGGCAGAGGGCGCTGGCCATTGCTGTTGTCCATGAGAAATGGCACAGGTCCATTTTGGGAGATGATGACAGAACCAGGCGAGAGGCAAAACAATTCCCTTCAGAAGAGATTTCTCTATAAATAATTTTGACTTTTTAATGATTTTGCTTTTAGTGATTTTTTGGTTATTTTGTTTTAAACTTTGTATGCAGTTCAGAGTCATATATGTAAGACAACAGCTATACAAATTTACCAAACAAATAAAAATCTCATTCCCGGAAATTAGTCTTTGTTCTATTGTATCCTAGTCTCATTCCAATTCTATAATCAATCACCGGCACTTTACTATTCCAAATTCTAAGACCTTTTAATTTTATTTACCTATACACATGCAGTCTTAAAACCCTGATTCTCTTTGGGCTGAATCAAGCCTGGATTGAATTCTTTCTAAATCTTTAGACTTCCTTCACTCCTTCCTAACCCACGATGCTGCAGTCATTTGTGTGGTGTCCATCAACAGGATGCCGGGTAGAAGACGTGGGCTGTCTATTTTCCTTTTGGGAAGGCTGCAGCTCAAAGCCACTTAGCCTCTATCAATGGTTGGGTAGTGCAACTGTCACTCAATACAGCTTACCGGCACCCAGATTTTCCGGCTTCTTGGACTTTTCTACTCTGCCATCATCTACCACCTTCCTGCAGGGTTATCAGAGCCAGTTTCAGTGCTAATGATGTTCTTGCAGCCATTGCTGGTCACTGCATCTGCTGATGGTCTGGCTGACGTTCTACTCTGCTTCCCCTGACAGCTGGCACATGTCAACTGCTTCCACTGCTATTGCTTTGCTGATTCTGCCGGTTTTGCAAATTGTGGCCCACAATTAGTTATTCCTCTTGGCTCAGCTCCCAATTCTTTCTTTACAGTACTCTTTTCCTGTACTTTCTTCAACTTTTTGCTATCTTTCTCTTTGTTTCTTCCAACTTCCTTCTTCAATGTTCCTTTTCTCTGACTCCTTCAGTTTTCCATGCTTTCTCTTCCTTTCTTCACAGCAATTTCCTTTTCAAATAAGTATAGTCAAGGGCCCTTAAAAGGAGAAGAAGGAAGTGTCGGCGTTCCTTTGCTTTACATCCCTCCTCATACTACAGAATGTATTTAATAAATTTTAGCCTGCCTAATAATACTCTAAAATTGAGCTACATTTGCAGAATTATATATAATACTTAAGAGGAAGTGACACATGCAAAACTAAAGACAAATATGTTTTTTTTTTCCTATAAAGAGAATTACCGGGACACGTTCTAGCAATTGCCTCTGTTAAGCAGATAAATTATCCTAAGTTTCAGATGGCCAAACACAAGAAGTATATGTTGTGATTCAACAATTACAAAACTAGATATTCATGTTCTAGTTCAGTGATGGCGAACCTTTTAGAGACCGAGTGCCCAAACTGCAACCCAAAACCCACTTATGCATCGTCGGGTGCCGGGTGGGTGTGGCCATTGGGTGGGCGTGGCCATTGGGTGGGCGTGGCTGCGGTGGTAACAGCAGACTGGGTGGGACTAAAAAGTTCAATCAA